AGTTTTCTAAGAAAGAACAGTTTTTCCGGTTTTCGACCTGGTCTCACTATTTTGCCATTTTCTCCTCGAAAACTCAGTCAAATTGAGGTAAAAAGGTCATATTCGGAATCAGCACACTTTTTCCTATTTATTTTCTCCTCCGATTTACACTTCTGACCGAAGAGGGAATGATACATGCGTAGCTGAACCATTATTTACCGTTAGAACTGACAAAGTTGTTAAGCTTTATTTTTATTATTCTTTGTTAACTCGAAAAAACTTGATCAGCTTTCTTTAAAAACTCCATCAAGATTTTTCTTCGATCAATCAAATTCAAGGAAGCATGCAAAAATATTCTCTTTGACGTTTGTAAAGAGAACAATTTATCCGTACATTTTCTATATTATTATTCTGTTTTTTTCTATATATTGGCTTTTTATTAATTGCCATCAAATTTGATTTAGAGTCCATAAAAAGAAACACGAATGTGCTATTTATACCTGATGTAATCTGTTGAAAAGATCAACTTCGTCTAATTAATGAAAGCAAAGACTTTGAAATTTGTTTGATTGTCTTGCACGTTAGCTAATAAAAACAACCTTATTCTTTTGGCATTCTAACATAGGTTTCTCGTCAAAAATGAGTATCGGTTAGTTTTTGACTTATAGTGATAACAATAAAAGTGTTTCGTAAACAAAAACATATTGTTTGCTGTCAAACGCTGTACTCAACTATCAAAACACTACGGCTTTGTCTTGAAATCATAGGAACCTATCGTTGAAACTAAATGGACGATGTTCGTAAAAAAGGTCATTAGCTAACTTGCAAGATAATCAAACAAATTTCAAAGTCTTTGCTAGTTAGACGAAATTGATTTATTCTTTCAATAGATTACATAAGGTATAAATAGCACATTCATGTTTCCTTTCATAAACTCTAAATGAGGTTTGATGACCATTAATAAAAAGCCAATATATAGAAAAAAACAGAATAATATAGAAAATGTACGGATGAATTTTTCTCTTTACAAACGTCAGAGAGGATTTTTTGCATGCTACTTTGAATTCGATTGACAGAAGAAAAATCTTGACGAATTTTTCTCAGGTGAATTGTGTCTCCAAGTAAGCGTACAGATGGTATTATCACTGTCAATCATTATTCTCTTGTTGATTCGTACAGTCCATGATACTAGTTTCGATCCAGATACTAGAGATTATAACGCTTACGGTTTGAAAGTGGCTGCTAATGACTATCTCATTATTGAAGCACAAAATCAAGAGGACACTTTCTATATTCAGTTCGGTCCGTATAACAGTAACGTCTTGGAAACTAGTCAACGATTTTGCAGCATTTACTTTGAAAGGTCATCTCAATATATTTATTCCGTAGCTATTGGTAAAAATCAATCGTCGAATCAATTATACTTCTTTTTTGTCGGTGAAATAACAGGTATTGATGAAGACGAACTACTCCCGAATCGAATATTTATCGGCATATTGAATTACACAGATAGTCCAGTAGGGCCGAATTCCAGTGCTGATTGTAGTCTGTTTGAGTATAATATTGAATATATTAATAACTCCTACAAACATCAACAGTATCTAACACTTGCGGTGGAACCTCTTGGATTGGCAGCCTATGGATTCTGCAACGACGTTTCGTTTTCTTACGATGCACAGACAGAGCATTTAAGATTATGGCCAGGCAATTCTTTCTGGCCAAATTTCACGTTTATGCCACACGCTGTGGATTATAAACACACGTACGGTGTAATTGCCGGTTTTGTGGATAACAGACACAGCTCTCGAGTTGAATACAGTCCATTTGTGTATTTGTTTACCATGAACGTGAGCACTGCGCCCACTGTGTTAGCATCGTGGACATACACAGTTACTGGTTCCTGGCAAGCAGGACGGACAAATTCTGGGGCGAACCTTTATGATGCTAAGTATGATATGTCGGTGGCGATCAATGATCTTGAACAGGCTCTCGTCGGCATTCCATCTATGAATTCGGTATTTTTGTTCTCTATCAATGGCTCAAACATGATTCTAGTGGCATCGCAGAACAATGGAAGATCACTCGGCTATGGAAAAGCCACCGCTTGGTTAGGTTTCACAGGTACTTCAGTGGCGATTCTAGTAAATAGTTATACATTCGGTTATTCATGGTTATCATCTCAAATTTACATCTACGATGATTTCACGAACACATCGACTCCTGCGACTATTTTCCCAAACAGCCAACAGATTCTCTCAGAAAATATGGCATCAATAATCCTAACTGTTGTTTCGACACCAACTCATCTAGCTTTTCTTGACATCAACGGAAATATTTTTGTTATTTTATCGAGTCCTGCTGGATTTTTTTCTTCTACCGTAGGCTCGGATGAACAGAGTGTGGCCGCATTTTCTGATCAAATTCCATGTATAGCCGGCACCTACAAGAATCAAACAAGTATTCGACCTTGTTCTCCATGCCCGACAGGTACAAAAAATCCGGGTAATTCTAGCATGTCATGCGTAACTTGCGCTCCAGGAACTTTTTGTTCATTAGGTGCGGCTAGTGATATCAGTTCGAGTGCTCTTGGTGTCGTTAGTCAGGCTCGAGCTTATCCTAAATCTCCAGAGAATACAGTCTTCGACGATATACTAATCCAGAACATGTTCAACATTGGTTCCACATCGCACTGTACCTTAGTTTCTCCCATATTTTGGGCTCTCATTGTAGCCATTTTTGCTTTTCTCATTATGGGTTTCATGACTGTGTTGAAATATTACACGAAATATCCAAAAGGAGCTCTTACACAAAAAAAGTTAACATCCATTTTCAAACAAACTGATTTGATTGGGGAAGGAGAGCAGTGGATTGGCGGACTAGTTTCGTTCTGCATCGTTGCTCTTTTGATTTGTGCATACACCTTTAGTAATGCCTATTTTATGCAGTATCCTATTGAAACAGTGGGACCATCAAATTTTGCCTGTGACAGGACTACTCGAAATGCGAAATTTGAGACAAGCCTTCAATCGTTAGCTGTTCCATTGACAAAGGAAGAGCAAGAAATGTTTGATTTATTGGACAATCAACAGTTTATGTTGAATGTCGACTTTGTCAATACTGTTTTCTCGTGTGATGATGGAATCACTGCCTTCGTTCTACTCGGAAGTTCGTGGCAAGCTCTTTCAATCATCTCATGCTTAAATTTTAACTATATTTTATCGATCAGTGTTGCGCTTCCGTACAAAGGTATCACTGTTCGATTTGTTCTGCCATACATCTACACCATCGGTGGTCTGCGTGTCGGTCTTTCGGGTCGTGGTAAGGCAGAGACACTCAAGAATCTTGAGTTTTATCAATCATTCAATTCATCGGGTAAGATGTTGGCTCATAATGTCGAGGTGACCATGCAAATAACTAAAGTCATTAACGAAACAATTGCTTTAGTTGGTGATGAAACAAAGCTGAGTGGATTGTGGATTCCATCGTTTACTATCAATCTTTACAACTCATTTATATCACAGAGCGCCTATGTTCGTCAGACGACAACTCAAACAAATTTAACTGTAATCATTAGTGAGACTCCGTACTACATTAAAAATGAACAACAGCCCATCGCGAAACAGCCGGAAATCATTTTTCATACTTTGCTTTTCACCACTGTGGTTCTTGAGATATTCGGGCTCATATTTCTTATAAGTAAACTTATGTTGATTCCTCTGCTCTCGTTTATTGTAAAAAAATGTCGGCAATTATTGAATCATGTAAGAGGAAAAGAGTTGCCCAATGACATTGAGGTACATGATAAACACCCGAATATTGAGTTGCAAGGTGAGAATGAAAATGATGCTTAGTGTTACCCGTTATTTTGTTCCATAGTTATTTATATTGGTATATAATGTAATGAATGATTGCTGTTTTCTGTTGTAACATATATAAGATTAATAAACTACCAAAACTGAAATTTAACAATGTGTCGTAGACCCAAGACAGAACATGAGTCACCATTAGTTCCCAGTATCTCAGAGTATACCACTTTTTGGAAGATCCGACACATTAGTCGCGTTATGCGCTTTAAGTGTAGCCTTCTTCTCCAGTAGAAGAAAAGGAATTTCTAAAATGATTTTTGGCGTCAATCAGTGGGAAATTATCACTAGGTACGTGGACGTTAGGCTTTAAACAAGTTCACGAAACTCAAAACACTCTTTTCATAGGTTTTCTAATGTGCTCTTTCTAATGTAATGCTTTTCAGAGCTGAAAAACCCGTCAAACCGGGTTTTCAGAAAACCTTAGGTTACCAGAGACCAAAACGGTTTAAAAATGTATATTTTCTCCAGGAAATAATTGTTCATATGTTTTCGAGTATCCTGATTTCAAATCTAATAACCGAAAAAGTTTTCAGAACGTTCCAGAAGGTTTTCCAGAGAGCTGGGTTTCTGAAAAATCCTTTTGTTCGGAAAATACACGATAACTCCATTTATAGGTTATTTCACATGTCGATTTCAATAAGACTGACGAGGGAAACCCACGAAGTGATTAAACGCTTTTTGCTCGAAATCTAGTGGGTTATAGGTTATCGACCATGTTGATTACGAATACGACCATGCGGCTTCCGCATAACCCTTCGAAGACCTGGTTTTCTAGAAAACGAGTTTTTCAGAAACTCCAAAAAATAACCCGAACCGTTCTTAATGAGACATGATTGTAGCTCGCACATTTCTGATTAAAATGAGACCTCTCCCAACTCTACATGACCTTTCTTTGCAAAGTTATAGAATTTACACGAAGAGCCCTAAATTAA